ATTATTGTTTTGTGTTGTTCACTAAATATTAAATTTGTATAATTCGTGTTTGTATATGAATTTAATCTTATATATTTTAAATATTAAACATATTCTCTTTAATATATCTCTTGATATATGAGTTGTCTAATAGCTTGAATTTAATTTTATATATTTTACATGTTAAGCATATTTTCTTTGTTAAATTAGATTTTTTGCAAGTTATATTTTTTTTATTGATTATAAAAATAAAATAAAATTAACTATTGAATTTATATGAGTCGAGTTTATAATAGTACTTTTAATTTTATATCATTCTTCTCGGTTATTTATATTCTTAGTATATTTTCTTAAACTAAACGTTATTTAGCATTGGACTATTTAGTAAAGATTGTTGTTTCATGTTGTTCATTAAATATTGAATTTGTATGATTCGTGTTTATAGTATTGCTTATAATTTTGTATCGTTTCTCTTGTTTGTAATTTTGTATCATTTTTCTCAAGTGTTTAGATTTAGATTATTTAGTAAATATTGTTGTTTGGTGTTGTACAGTAAAAATTTAATTTATATGATTCGTATTTGTATATGAATTTAATTTTCTTTAATATATCTGTTGATATATGAGTTGTTCAATAACTTGAATTTAATTTTGTATATTTTACATGTTAAGCATTTTTTTTTTGTTAAATTAGATTTTTTGCAAGTTATGTTTTTTTTTTATTGATTATGAAAAAAATAAAATTGACTATTGAATTTGTATATTTTGTATTTGTAGTATTCCTTGAATGAAAGAGAGAGATACAGAGGAATATTTTTCGTGATATATATAATTTATTTAATATTTATTATATAATTTTTCTTCAGAGAGAGATACTGATGAATATTTTCATAATATACTATCTCTCTGTGATATATATTATTCATCTACAGAGAGATGTAGTATTTGCTTGAATCAGACACTATCTAATATTTTCGTAAGATATAGAGAGAGATACAGAGGAAAATATTGTGAAAAATTGATACTTTTTGCATAAATTGAGTGAGAGAGAGAGATTTGATTAATTTAAGGAAAAATTTTGAGAGAATTAAATTTTGGAATATCAATTTTGAAAACTATAAATTTTAAGCAATAAAAATATTTCAAAAGAGTTAATGTGGTACGTCGGATCAAAACAATATGAGACGTCAATAGCTCGAGACAGTTTGAGTTAATTTCGTCCGTTAGATAATATTTTTTTTTTGTCATAAAATGATCTAAACCACTATTTGTCTCTAAAATTCAAATTCATTCTACTTTGTTATATAGATATTATAGTATTGTATATTAAATTTTATTCCAATTGACCAAGATAATCCTAAATACAGTAAGATTCTAATATGATTGGTATATTGATAATTATTTTTATTTTATATAGTGATTTATAAGTGGAATCTTAATCAAATTAAATTTTAATTATCTATTTTTTATTTATAAATGTCAATTTTTATGAAACTTTTTTGTTGATTATATTACTGTTAAAATAAATATGCATTATTATAAGTTTAACAAAATGCTCAAAACATTTTCAAAAACTCCATCAATATAATATTACTCATCTCACTTATAAAGATAATATGTATATTTTATTTTTCATCAAAATGTTTAATCATTTTATTTTTAAGATAAAAAATAATGTATATGTAGTTTTACACGATTTTTGAGTCGCATAAAATTTTTTAAACCGTGTTAAGATTTTATGAGAAATTTTGAATTTTTTTAAAATTTTAATATGTTTTATAATATATATTACAATATTGTATATTAAATTTTATCTCAATTGATCTAATTAATCCTAAATATAATAAGATTCTAATACGATTGGTGTATTGATAATTATTTTTATTTTATTCAATGGTTTATAAGTGGAATCTTAATCAAATTAATTTAAAAAAATTTAATTTTCAAACATCACTATAAAATTATTTTTCAATTACAGAATTATAGAAAAAAATAGAAATTTAACTATTTATTTTCTTTTTTTTTGTTATTATTTTTCTTAAAGTTAGAATAACAAATCTTGAAAACATATAAAGTTTTTAAAAATTCTATTGTGGAGCATGAGCGATGTAAAAATAAATTTGATAAATTTGAAATGATATTTAATTCAATTACACATCTAGTAAATATTTATTTATTAATTTAAAAAAAATATTTTTCACATGCAATGCGCTTGACGCATTGCTAGTAGAAATAAAAATATAATATTAGTAGAAAAAATACTTCGATAGGATATTTTAGTAAGAATATTGGCTTTTGATATTTGACCATTAACTTTTACTTAATTTATAATGGGTTCATTTTGATTCAAAACCATGAGGAAAAGTATAACGAGATAACATGTTGGGCAAAATAAATCATGGTCTTTTTTTTTTAACGATTAGAAGTGTTCGAGTTAGTCTATTCATATCTCGATTAATCTCTTTCTTGATCAAGTCACAGACAGATCATTCACGCTAAAATTATCCCTTATGGTCTGAAGATCCTAAAAGGTTGCCAATATTTAAACTTAAGACTTTTGAGTTTACAAATCATCTCTGTTACTACTCGAGTCATTCTTGAAGTTTGTGCTACTTTTGTCCTTATTCTTTTGATAATGTTATTTTAGTCCCTGAAATTTTCAAATTGCGTCAAGTGATCGTGTGTGATTTTGTTTGGGGTATTTTTTGAAAATCTAAAAGGTTGAAGTGACAAAATTAATAGAATGAGGACTAAAACAATACAAATTGAAAACTTGAGGGACAAAATTCAAGTGTAGCCGTGATCACTTTCTTTAATCAATTTATACCATTATTTTTAATATGAATTGGAACGATATAAATTAAAAAATTGAGTGATTGAAATGATAAAAGTAAAAATAAAGACCAAAAGGACCAAAATAAAATACATATTTTTGGAGAAAATTACTGTATTTCACCAATTGATGCAGTTATATTTTACATTTTTAAACAAGACAGTCCAACCCCAAATGTAGCGCTTTGAAGCGGGTGAATTGCACTTTATTCATTAAAATATTAAAAAAAATTATTTTGTATATTTAAAGATTAAATGTTTTGCGTTATACCCTTAATGTATTAGAAATATTACAATATGACCATTTTATTAGTTTTTGCTACTCATTCTGTCAACTATAGTAGAGTGCATTTTGATGGAATAAGCAACGGAAGGGCCATATTAGAATACTTTTAATACATCCATAGTGTAATATGAAAATTTTAAACTTTTAGAGTGCAAAGTGAAAAAAATTTAGGCCCTTTTGTATCTTAGAAACTGTTTTTTGTTTTCAAAAAATATCTTATAGGAGAAAAGTCGTTTGACCAATAATTTTTTCAAAATTTAGAAAACACCACCCCCATCACTCTTCCACCAACACGTCCATCACACTTCCACCACCACTATATATCTGTTTTCATTGTTTTTTAATTACTGTTCAAACAAGTTTTACTTTTTATTTTGTAAAACTGTTTTTGAATTATATAACCAAATAAGTTATATGATAAAAAAATCAAAAATTTAAAATTATTTTCAAAAATAATTTTTAAGTATTATTTTTAAAACGTAAACAAGACAAGACCTTACCTTAATTTTTTCAGCATCCAAGGTGAGATTCCGCCTTGAAGCTTTATCAGCCAACACGTATAGTATCCTACGCGCACCACGTCCTATTTTCCTTTCTATTTCTTTGCCAAATTGCTAGTACCAACTCATCATGGATTCCCACCTTTTAACTTCCATTTCATACGTTACAAACAAAATTGTCTCTTTCCCACCCAACTCCACTACACACGTGAATCCAAAACCCCAATAATAATAATAATAAGTTAAAAATCCCTATTTTTCCCACACATAAAAGAAATTTGAGTTTTTGGTTTTGATTAATTTTCATAATTTTTCAAAAATTTTGTCAAATTTAGTAGTGGAATTTTTAGATTTTACTTGAGTCTCCAATTGTTTTGATGTTTTTTTCCCCGGTAAGATAGAGAATGAAATTTTACAATTTCGTACGACAAAATCATAATGATTCAAAAAATGAAGGATGAACCTAAATGCCACAAAAATGACTCAAATTGAATTTATTTTGATGATGAATGATTAACTAATAAGGAGATTGGTAAAAATTAAAAGGGAGAAGATGCAAATCCAAGAAAAGGATTCTCTTACCACAAAAAGAAATAGTGAAAAAAGATGATAAATTACGGTAGCACCCCATAATATATAAGGGTGTGTTATCCATGCATCCCTTCATAAAATGATTTGAAGACCTTGATTATTGTATTCCTCCTCTTTATTAAATTGATTTATTCTATAAATTTTGATTAGAATTGATAAAAATGAAAATAGAGAGATAATGCAAAAATTAGAGTATTATTGTGGCTTATGTCTAGAAATCTATTATTTTTTACACATCTCTCTCTAGATAGAGATATCTAGAGAGAGATTTGCTACGTGAGCAAAACCCGACTGTACCTTATATGTGTTTTACAAATTGTACTCCATCTTTATTTCCAACGAACTCATTTTCTTTTGATTTGGAAAATCAGTGTTGCGTTCGATTTGAAAGGCATGATTTTTAGTATATCCATAGATAGGGCTCCCCTTGAGTGTTGCAAAATGCAAAGAGTCTTGTCATAATTTTCCGGAAAATGTTGTCGTGAAAAATGGAAAGTAGTAGGGGTCTTTGTATCAATATAACATATTAATAGATGAGCGTATAATAAATACAAATTTCAGGGGTGTCACTGTAATTTATTCAACGGGAAAAACATTTTTTACCATATCGGCCCATTTCTCTCAACGTAACGCACATAAAAGGAATTCTAGAGAGAGAAAAACACACACAATCTTCCCTCTCTTTCGGCTCCCAAAATGCATTTCTAGAGAGAGAGAGGGGGAGTTACGGTTTCTCTCTCTGTGGTTTTAGCTACAGAGATTCAAGGGTTTTTCGAGTTCTCTCCTTCGAAATCCCAGGCTTTCAATTATCAAATGGAGTTCGTGGGGAGAACAGTGAAGAAAAAGTTCATAGGGTTCGGAATTTTCTCGGGAACAGTGAAATCGTACGATTCCTCAACTGGATTCTTCCAAGTCGTGTACGAGGACGGCGATTCCGAGGAGTTGGAATTATCTGAGATCAATCCTCTCTTGGACGGAGAAGTCGTGGACCAATCTGGTATGTTCGATCTCAGCATCAAGTGTAATAAACGGCGTCGTGTTGGTGATCCAGGTAACAATTCTGAGAATTTAGCAAGTAAAATTGGTCCCAATGGGGAAATCAAGAGGGAAAATGAACTGGGGCGTAACGAAACTGTTTTGGCTAATGGAAATTTGAACGGAAATGATGGGGTTGATTTAAATCATGGTTTGAATTTGAATGAGGTCTTGAATTTGAATGATGGGTTGCTGGATTTAAATGATGTGGTCATTTTAAATGATGGTTTTGATTTGAATTTGAATGAGGAATTGAATTTGAACGACGTTGCTAAAGAAAAATATGGGTTGAATTTGAATGATGAAGTGAATGTAAATGACGGGGTTAATTTAGATGTGAAGAGAAGCGAATTTATTGATTTGAATTTGGATGTAATTGAAGATAGTAATGGGAGTTTGATAGAAGGTGATTCAGTTGGGGGTACACAGAAGAAAGAACATTGTTTTGACTTGAATTTGGATGCTGAATGTGAAGGACAATTAAAAGAGAACAACTTTTATCGAATGGATGAAAGTCAGATATTAGGTTATAATGCAAATGGTGCTTTCGAGGGAGTTTATGTTGAAGATGTTAAAGAGACTTCGGTGAAGATATTTAGTGGTCTCATTGAGAATGTGTTGGGTGATGGAAGTCAAAAAGAAGCTGGAAGTTTGAAGAGAGATGCTTTGGATGCTAGCTATGTGATTGATGGTGGTTCTTCTGAAACTCCATTGAAGGGCCTTTCTGATGCTGGTGCTGCGGCAAGCGATGGATATCCTGTGAATTTGGGAAGCTTCTCCAAAGGAAGAAGGGGTAGAAAGAGAAGAATGCTTGTGGACTCTGTGAACTCTTCAACAGAAACAGTGTTGAGAAGAAGTACTCGTAGAGGACGAGCCACTTTTTCTGCTGAAGATCATGTTTCTAGTGCAGTAATATCCAATGTAATCGAGGATCCATCGTCCTCTCCTGTGGTTAGTCCAGTTTCAGATGAAAAACCTGCAGTCTCAGGCCGTGGAGAATCAGAAGGATGCTCTGTTCTTCCTCCAAAGCCACAGTTACCCCCTTCTTCAGAAAATTTGAATATGGAGGACATTCCCATACTTGATCTTTTTTCTGTTTACTCCTTTTTGAGGTCATTTAGTACTTCATTATTTTTGAGTCCCTTTACATTGGAGGATTTTGTGGCAGCCGTGAACTGCAAGGATCCTAATTCATTGTTTGATTACATTCATATTTCTCTCTTACAAACTTTGAGGAAGCATTTGGATTCTCTTTCTGATGAAAGTTCCCAATCAGCTTCTAGTTGCCTTAGGTATTGTATTTCCCCTCACCCAAAAGGTCAATTATTTGGGTTTCCGAACTGTTATTTCTTTTTTGCTTACTTTTTCTTTTTTTTTAAATTTTTGAATGTTAAATGTAGGGGTCTTAACTGGGATTTGCTGGACTTGATAACGTGGCCAATCTTTATGATTGAATACCTTTTGCATGGTTCTGAATTGAATCCTGGTTTTGATCTTTGTCGCTTGAAGCTATCTGGGAATGATTATTACAAACAACCAGCTGCCATAAAGATTGAGATGCTTCGGCGTCTTTCTGATGACGTGATTGAAGTTGACGCCATAAGGTCAGAGCTTAATAGGAGAACACTGACAACTGAGCCTAATATAGATGTTGATAGGAATACAAAGTTCGAGACTTCCAGGAAAAGCAGGGCTGTGATGGGTGGTTCTGGTGATTCTTGCCTGGCTGAGGGGGAGGTAGATGAAACCAAAGATGGGAACAGTGATGAATGCTGCCTCTGTAAGATGGATGGGAGTTTACTGTGCTGCGATGGATGCCCTGCGGCATTTCATTCGAGGTGCATAGGGGTTGCAAGTAGTCTCTTGCCAGATGGTGATTGGTATTGCCCTGAGTGTGTGATTGACAGAGACCGGCCCTGGATGAAAATAGGGATGTCAATTCGAGGAGCAGAGCTATTGGGAATTGATCCTTATGGCCGGCTATATTTTAGTAGCTGTGGTTACCTGTTGGTGTAAGTTTTTACTTTCTTAAAAGTCAATTATATTTGTTTTTGTGAGTTTGAAAAAAAAACATATATTTAATGTTTTGTAAATTATCATTGTCTTGGCAAATCCATTGTAGCTGTGCAGTAGAAGTGTTAATATGTCATCAAATGGAGCAGTGTAAGCCAAGCAATATGACCACAGGATGCTTCCCAAGTGGAATCCTCCTATTGAAAGTGACTTCAGCTGGAAGCGAGATTGAACTTATAGTGGTGTAATGGATGTGTGAAACAATTCATTTCACCATTTCTTTCTTGTCCCTTATGATTTAAATTATTATTCTTTGACTTAATTTGCTTAAAGTAGGTCTGGCACTTTGATTTTAGAGCCGGTCCTTGATTGGCCATACAAGTGTGTTATATGTCACTATGGTTTTATCTATTTTCAATCATAGAATTATTCTTGGATATTTATCATCTGTTTGAAATTTGAATTGTGATTCGCTTCAACTTTTTTGGCATGCAATTGTATTTCTGTGTCTCTTTAATACACGCAAAGCACTTCAAGATGCATTACTATCCAAAGAAATGTTATTATCATTGATGTAGTCATCATGTATAGTAGGATTAAAGTTACGGTGTCATAAAAAGGGGAGAGGAGGAAACAACAAGATTATTAATAATGTGTGAACAACTTCTTTTCTGAATGCTGATATGGGGCGTCTTAATTAAACCAAACCAAATCAAACCAAGTTTTATTTCCCAATCATTTGGGGTCGACTATATGAGTCCGTCTTTGCTATTCATTTCGATCATGTGCTATACGTTCATTTAAGTTAAATATTTTAATATATTTTCTTATTATATTATTCAATGTTAATTTAAATTTACCCTTACTTCTAATACCATTAAAAAAGATTATCTCACTTTTTTGAATCGGTGCCTCTATCGACCTTCGTTGAACATGACCCATCTTAATCCGTTGTCTCTTAATTTATTTTCAATTAGAGCTATTCCTATCATTTCTCTAGTATGGTCATTTTTGATTTTATCCTTTCTAATTTTTCTATACATTCACCTTAGCATTCTTATTTCCACTATACTTATTTTGTCACTATATTATTTCTTAGTTGTTCAATAATCTGTTCCATGCAACATTGCTGTTCTTATAGCTGTTCAGTAAAATTTACCTTTCAATTTTATTGGTATCCTTCTATCACATAATTTGCCAGAGGGTGTTGATTCTCTAAGTTACATCATCTCCAATCTCTCCATCATTTTTAATGATCTATCCTAGATATCTAAATTGTTTACTCGTTGGTATTTCTTAATTTTTAATCTTAACTTTTGCACTATGTCTACTTGTTTTACTACTAAAATTGCATTGCATATATTCAGTCTTACTCCTATTTATTTTAAACCCTGTCGACTTGAGTGTTTTTCTCCAAATTTTTAGCTTATTGTTAATCTCTCTTCGAGTTTTATCTATTAATACAATTTCATCTGCAAATAGCTTACACCGTGAAACATCGTCTTGAATGTGCTTAGTGAGTTCGTTCGTAATTAGGGCGGATAGGTATAGACTTAGGGGCAATTCTTGGTGTAATCCCACCGTAATTGAAAATTCTTTACTTTCTCCGATGAAAGACCTAATTGTAGTCATAACTTCGTCATACGTGTCATTTATCACCTCAATATACCTATTTGTCACTCCTTTTCTCTCAAGTACCCTTCATATTATATTTTTAGGTACTTTATCATACGCCTTTTCTAGATCTATAAATATTATATGGAGATTTTTCTTTTTCTCTCTATATTTTTGTATGAGTGTCCTCAATAAATATATAGGCTCCATAGTTGATATACTCGGCATAAACCCAAACTGATTTTTTGATACTGTAGTCTTAACATTAACTCTTAGGTGATGTTCAATGACCTTTTCCCATAGTTTCATTGTATTACTTATCAATTTTATCGCTCTATAATTATTACAATTTTGAATATCTCCTTTATTTTTATAAATAGGTATTAAAATACTCTTTCTTCATTCATCGGACATTTTTCTAGTAGCAATTATTCTATTGAATAATTTCATTAGCCACGACACCCCCTCATTTCCTAAGTACTTCCAAAGCTCAATTGGAATCTCATCCGATCCTAAATTCTTGCCTAATTTTATTTTCTTCAATTCAAACTCTACCTCAGAATTCTTTATTCTACGAAAGAATGTTTCCTGAATTTTACCATTTTCTATCTTTTCTAAGTTTCCTATGTGGTGTGGGGCTTCTTGACAAACAAATATGGGTTTATTGTTCTATATGAAACAAAGAGAAATAAAGAGGGAATAGTTATATAGGGGTTTGATTAATGACACACTTTTAGAACTTCTACCAACTATTTCTTTGGATAGTCATACATTAAATTGAAGCTTACTTTTTATTTTCTAATTTTTTTTTGGAAATAAAATGGAGTGAGCATTCTCTTTATTGATTTTTACAGCTTTTAGATCAAACGCATGTTCTACCTCACCTTGTTCCCATTGTGGTCCCGTGATTTTTGTGCGTGTCATCAAAGATCTTAGTTCTTATAAAAAAAACGCTTCATTTTAAGGACTTTTTTTCAAACAAAAGATTGTGGTTGCTTTCTAGTAGCTTCACGAGTCCTTCAAACATTTTCACAGTGTTTGCACAACTTCTAAAAGAATTTCAGTTGTATTCTCCATTCACTTTTTATGATTAACCGTCCTCCTTTTCTATTCTGCTACAGACCGGCCCTCATTCAAATAGGGTTTAGATCTCGAATTTTGGCTCTGCTATCGACATTGATCGCATTTGGAACTCAATGAACCATTTTCTATATTAACCGAGAATGATTCTTCATTCTTATGTTCAAAGTGTAATGTAAAAACTAGTTAGGATAGAATTCTAGAGAGGATTTCCATTAGGAATACATCATCATTCCTATTTGGAACCCGTCTAAACCTTTAAATTTTTGCCTAAGAATGACTTAAAAAGTCGATGTTCTCCCATGATTATTTTGACAAGTGAGAGCATGGTGGACTAACAATGTAGGAGTAAATGATAAAAGGATGGCATAAAGATGGAAGTGTTGTTAAATTGACATGAAATTCTTCCTTAAGCCCAAGGCAAGCTAATTTTTCTTGCTTTTGGACATTGCTACACTTTATGGATGCTATTGGGGGAAAACTACATTTAGTGAGTTGTTTCCCCATTTACTCATAGCTATGAAGCATGGACACGCGTCTGGACACACGAGATGGTATGAACATGTTGACAATGGATCCCAAAAAAGAGGTTATGGACGCATCAAAAGTAGGGCAACAGAGTTATATACATTATATATATAATAGTGAACTAACTAGTATGCTAGACAACTTAACCTGATATGATTCTAATGTGAAACTTGTAACTATTAATCATAGCAACCCATGAATGCCTGTGTTACATAGGCAAATACATGGCAAGGATTATTGTGTATGCATGTACATATTGAAATATAGATATGTAAATATGTACTTTTGTACTCATAGGACAATTTCCTTTTTAATATAAGTGCAATTATGAAGGCTTCTCTCTGCATCCAATACCCACTCTTCCATAGTCTCTTCCCATGTCTTATTTATGTCATGAGAATATCTATTATATGATTTCTGTTAACAACTATACTTCATTTTAATGGTTTCTCATAAAAGAAAGAAAACAATTTACTATTTTTGTGTGCTAAGAAGGAAGTCGCATCTAGCATCTAATTTTTCAGGGCTCAGGTGTTGAACAATGTTCAAGAGCGGTCATAAGTTCAAACTCTTAGAGTTTCATTTTGAAATTATCAACATATTGAATATATATCAAACTCACATCTAGAGTAGTCGGGATGTATCATGGTTTGATATGTGACTAAGTCGGGATGTTTTGATATGTGACTAGACTAACTTGGATAAGAATCCTTCTCTGAAATGTCCATGTTTTTTAGATTTCTAGTTATTTTCATATCAGGGGATTTAATAAAACTATTGTCATGCTCACTCCATAGCATTGGGTTTGAAGTTGGCTTTATGGCTAGATTCAATAGTTGATTTTGATGTGCTTCCAGAAATAATAGTGGATATCTTTATGAGGTCCATATGTTGGGGGATATTTGTGTTTTTTTTGCCTGAACATACCTTTTTCCCATGGGGCCAGTTGTTAGGTTATGCACAAAGTGTATGTTGATATGAAGTCATATTGCTTTGTATGTTTTAGTCCTAGTATGGTTTCACTTTGAATTGTAGCCCTATAATGTATTTAGAGGATGATGTCTTAGATGAGTTGCCTTGTTCATAAGTGATGGTTTATTGCCAGGACAGATAGTTTTCAATTGATTCCCCCCCCCCCCCCCACCCCCACCCCCACCCCCCCAAAAAGAGCCTGTTAAATTTGGATTGATACTGAACTTGTAGCTGTTCCAATAAATGAATTTAAAGATCTATGTGAGAGATGAATATTTTTGTTGTTGTCATTGTTAATTCCATTCTGAAACATAGCTTATGTTCGGAGGCTGTATGATTGGAAACGAAATTTTTTTTGATTGTAAAGGGAAGGATGATGTTTAGTTAATATATGCATATGGCTTTTTTTTTTTTTTTTTCAGATTATATATAATATGGAACCCAGCTAATATATGTATATTGCTTTTTGTCAGATTAGATATAATATCCAACCCCTTGCATGCTCATATCATTAACTTTAAACCAATCATCTTGAACTTTCTTAACTCTTATATCCAGCTACTGGGTGTGTTATGCATTTGATTGTTCCAGTGTGCGTGCTTTTGCTACCCATCGGTTATTCGCTTATTACATATTTTTAGATAGTTTGTTTTTAAGGTGATATTTAACTACTAAGATACTGTTAGATTCCTAATACGGTAATAAAATAAATTATCACATAAATGTCAATAATTATATTTGATGATGAAATTTGAAAATAAAATAAACAGTTTATGTTCTGGAAATTAAAAGTTCGTATTTTCTAAATTAAACTAAAAAAGACAATTACTCTTACATTGTGGGATGAAACACTCATTTGAATCGGAAGATTGGAGAGTTCGGCCATAGTTGGAAATCTGAGATATCAAATTACCAAATCATGATAAGCTTAACGTAAATGCTGAATCGAGGTTAGTAATGATAAATATATGTAAAACAATAAAATACTTACCTTGACCAGAAGATTCAAATATAGGTTGGCATATCAGGAAATTTTAAGTGCATCATTGCAAGGGTTTACCGACAGATCTCGACGAACATGACCTAACTACGTAGATCTAGGTTAGAAATGATGGATCTAATGCATATCAAGCCCAAAAACACTTGAAAAAAGTGGAGAGGAGTTGTGTGTTTTGTCTTGAAGAGTTACATGCCCGAGGGGTTTTAAATTTCTTTATTTTAGGTCCATGCATGTAATACAGAAATTTTGGATTGCAAAGCAAGGATTTAAGCGTGGAAGAGGGCTGTTGAGTTTTCCAAAGTTGGCAGTATGAGGAGGACTTTGGGAGTTGTGTTTTGTTTCGACTTTTTTTTTTGGTTTGGGGGGAAGAGGGGGTTAGGTGGAAGAGTGTCCAGATCTGACTTTTGAAAGCACTAATGCCATGTCACCATAATAGAGCTTTAACAGACCTTTCAGCTCTGTCATGGCTGTTCCACCAGTGATTTTATAGGTCCTATATTGTAGATTATGCAAATTTTCAAATTGTTTTGTAATCATTGTGAAACTTTTTATGCATTTTTTCGTTCATTTTGGCATTCAGTCAATCTTGAGATAGATGTTTGGCACCAATATGTATCAAGGGCCTACTAATCTCATTACCAAAACCAAATCTACCATACTAGTGCTACAAAGAGACATAAAGACATCCCCATACCTCTTAAATTGTTGTTGGAACCAAGACTAGTTCTTTATATGCTGAAGAGAATTGCCAAGTTGTAATAGTTGCTTTAGTTGTAGTGCCAAGATGATGCCATACCTTTTTTGTGTCTACTGTAAAAGTCAACTATAATATATTGTTAGTTTTGTTTTCCATACCTATAAATTTATAGATACCTCTTAGAAGTTCTTTTCTTCTCTTTGGTTCTTCTCTTGGACTGAGTTAGCCACCAATTTTTGCATTTTTAGAATACTGCTAAATTTGGCGATTCATCTTTACCTTTGCTAGTGTGTGATTTGTTTCTTTTTTTATCTAAGTTATATGATAGTATAATAAATCACGGATTACTAAAGATTGCATAAGTTTACCCTATGTGCTTCGAATAATTCCCTTAAAGTCGGCTGCCTAGTCTAATTTTTTGACATGATTCATGTGTAGTAGAGATTACCATTCTAAGTTTTAGGCTGTTAATTTTCAGATTGCCCTCACGGTATACATATTCTTTTACTCTTGATCATTTCACTTTCTTCCTTTTCATTGTTATTATAACTATGTGATTGCTTCAATGAGTATTGTGTGCTGTTGAATCTGCAGGTCAGATTCATGCGACACTGGATACTCGTTCCATTATTACCACACAAATGATGTGCCTGTTGTCATTGAAGCTCTACAGCCATCAAACGTTCTTTATAGTACAATATTAAGTGCAATATTCAAGCATTGGGATGTATCTAATACAAATAATGGAGCAAAACGTGGTTTGGACTCCCGGAATGTCACTATATGCTCGGACTTTCTTGTGAAAGGACAAATGCCTGCTAATCCTATGCCGTCACGGCTTTTGGAAGCTTCAGAATTTTGCATGAAGGATGAAATTGTCAATACAGGGAAACCCGAAGAAAAGTCTCTGATATCCGTGCATCCTAGTAATGGAGGATGTGAGGTCTCAGAGTTGATTCATTTCAATCCAGTCAATGTGAACCATTCCATGACAATGGAGAGTCTATTGGCAAGCTCTCAAGGATCGGCTGATATCTCTCAAGCTATCTCAGGCATGAAGAATATTCAGAAAGATGGACTGGAATGTCTGGACAATTCTGCTGGCATGTCAAATGATTCTGAGATTCCAGGGAAACCTGTTTGTGTTGGAGACTCTCCTCTTGCATCTAGCAATTTAGAGGTTGAACAAGGAAAAAGTATTCAATCTGCCACTCAGGGTGGCACATCTTCCACAATAACCACAAGAGGGAACATGTCCCAAGGGCAGAGCGGAGCTAGTTATGTGAACTATTATGTTTTTGCACGAACAGCCTCCTCAGTTGCTGAAGAGTTCACGCGTAAATCGTCTGGTAAGATCTCTAAAGAGACTGCAAGATCAATTGAGGATATTATTTCAGGACAGCTGAAGACCATATCAGATATACCTACTGAGTTTTGTTGGCCAAATATCAACAAGATAAATGCGGATGCTAGGAAAGAGAAATGTGGGTGGTGCTTCTCTTGCAGATTTCCAGATGAGCAGAGGGAGTGCTTGTTTGTCATGAATGATAGTGGTCCTGTTGTTGAAAGTTTTACGAGTGAGGTATTAGGTATTCGTTCAAGAAAAAATTGGAAAGGTCATCTTATTGATGTCATGTGCCATATCCTTTGCATTGAGGATCGTTTGCAGGGACTTCTGTTGGGTCCCTGGCTGAATCCACATTACTCCAAGCTTTGGCGAAAAAGTGTTCTCAAGGCATCTGGCATTGCCTCAATGAAACATCTTTTGCTCACGGTAAGTATGTTCCATTTTTTACTTCTTTTGACCTGAAGTTCGTAGTTGGGGTGCAACTGCATTTATTGGTTGCGTTGGTTCAATTGGATTGGTTTTCAGGGCCTTATTCTAAGATCTGGAAAATTGATACTCTCAACTTGAACTTACTTTTGTTTGGAATTCCTTTAGCCAACTTAATGCAATACTCTATCAAAATTTCTAGATTAAGCTTTGAGTTCAGTTTGATGCTATGTAGTCAACTCATCTCAACGGAGCCTTGTCCCAATTATTTGGACTTGGCTACATGTATGCTATTACATTATTGCATTCTGTGAAAAGCCATATTTTCCATTAAACCTTAAGATATCATACCAGTTTCATCTCATTAAAAGCTAATAGCGGTATACCTCTGCCCCTCTCATTCCCACAAATAGTTTTATATCGCTTCTCATCACAGTTGTAGTAATATATCTTCTAGAGCTTGTCAAACCACCTAAGTTTATTCTCTATTAATTTATGTTTTGTTGGACTTGGTGCTACTTCTATCGTTGAACAAGTATACTTGTTATTGATTCTATCACTTCTGGTTTTGGTTCACATACATGTTAACATTCTCAATTTCCTCCACACTTTGTGCTTCTTGTTTCCTAGCACATACTGGTCACTAAACATATTGGCCTGTAATGGATGACGTACTTATTGGGCACTTTTGTTACCAAAAGGCTCTCCTGATCATATCTAATCTAAAATCATTTCTCACTTTGTCGATTTAAGAATTAACCAATGGCAACCCAAACCTAGAATTTTGTAGTGCAGTTGAATTTCATTTGGAAAGGGTGAAGTTGCAACATGTTTTCAAGTATCATCAAAATAATTATGAATTCTGTTGTCGGCTGCATAAGGCAGTTCCTGCAATGGAATAATCCAAGTTATTGTAGAGTTCCAATAAACACCGGTCCCCAAGCAATTTATATTTTGGAATGCTTGTCAAAAACATGGAACATTTTTATCTAGAACGCCAAATCTATAGATCTGGAAGATTGCTTCTGATTCCTACCTATTTTCTGGATGAATAAGATGACTTCAATAAGTTAAAAGTAAAATTTTTAAAGAATAGGGAACCTCAGGTTAATTATAAGCAAAGGGCCTTTAGCACCTCAAGCTTAAAATCCGTATAATCCAATCCCCTTTGGCCCAAATTTTAGTCTTTCTTAGGGATCTGAATTTGTTAGGAGACAAGTAATAGTTGAAATCTAAAGATCTAGGGTTTAGCAAGGAGAAGAGGCAAGAGAAGACGGAAGAGAAGGAAAATATTAGAACTAGGGTTAAGGAGAGTGAGAGTTAATCAGTCTATCCTCTCATCATCCATATTTATATTAACTCATATTAAAGTGAAGATTATAATAATACCCTAAATTGAAATGACCAAATATTCTGCACTCCGCAAGTTGGAGCATAGATATCTCTCATCCCCAACTTGCATACATCAGATTGAAAGATTCTATTACTAAGTCCCTTAGTAAACACAGCAACTAGCTGTTTCTTGGACGTCAGAGATGACATACAAATCGACCCATCATTGGGCTGCTGTTTAATAGAGTGTCTGTTAATCTCAATATACTTTCTTCTGTCATGCAAAATCGGGTTGTGAGAAATATTTATAACAGCCTTATTATCACAATACATATGCATATGTTCAGCATTAGAGACACCCAAGTCTTCCATTAAGGTTTTTTAGCCACATAAGCTCACTAATACCATAAGTCGTAGCCCAGCCTCTGTACTAGATCTAGCCACCACGGTTTGTTTCTTGCTTCGCTAACTAACTAGATTTCCTTCTATAAAGGGACAATAATATATAGTTGACTTCCTATCCTCAATAGCGCCTGCTGAATTTGCATCTTTTAATGCTTCTATTCTCAAATGACCTTGCTTTGAAAATAATATTCTTTTGCGCGGAGATGATTTGAGATACCTTAGTATACGATGAACTGCCTCTTGATGAGGCACCTGAGTACCAATCATGAATTGACTAAAAACACCCAATGCATATGCTATGTTTGGGCGAGTATGAGAAAGGTATATAGGTCTCCTAACAAGCCTCTAATATCTTCTTTTAGAAACTTATCACCTTCATCACTTCTCTATTTGTGGTTTGTCTCAATAGGTAAGTCAGCAGGTATACAACCTAGCATGTTAGTTTCCTTCAAGAGATCAAGAATATACCTCATTTGTGAGATAAAAATGTCTTTATCTGATCAGGCCACTCAATCTCCACGAAATAGCGTAACCACCCCAAATTCTTAATCTCAAATTCTTTAGTAAGATGAACTTTTAGTTTGGACACTTATTCCACATCATCACTTGTAAGTATTATGTCATCAACATATAACATAAGAATAAAGATCTTACCACTCCCTTGTAAGTAGTAGTTTCCCAGTATCCAAACTTGACTTGTCAAACCACACACTCGGAGACTGCATTGGTTTATAAAGGGATTTCTTTAGTTTGCATACTTTTCTCTTTGTTGCTGACGAAGGAAATCCTGGAGGGATATCCATGTACATTTGCTCCTATAAGTCCCCTATAAAGGAATGCATTCTTTACGTCAAGTTGTTATAAATCTCATCCTAGATTGGCAGCATAAAAGGATAACATGAATGAAATTCATCTTCGCTACAAGAGCAAATGTATAGTCAGTGACATATGGCTAAGTGAACTCCTTAGTTACCAACCTTGCTTTGTATCTATTCATTGTGCCATCTGCATTTTGCTTGATAGTGAATTCTCACTTACAACTTACTGATTTTTTTCCCGACCGAAGAGACACAAGTTCTCAGGTTTTGTTCTTTCCCAAAGTTCTCATTTCTTCTACCATGGGTGCTTTCCACTTGGGGTTAGCAGGGGCTTCATGATATAGAAGACAAAAATGAAACAAAATCACGATAGGAGGAAGACAAAGAGTTATAAGAAACAAATTTAGAAATAGGATGTTAGGTACGAGTCCGAACTCCTTTTCGAATAGCAATTGGTAAATAACTATCATCAACATGATTACTATAAGGAGACTCATTACCTAATAAAGGGGAGAGATCTTAGGAACTAAGTCTAGAGGTGATGACTGACTTGGTGCCTCAGTAGTGATTTGCTTAGTTATTTGTCGAGTATAGCATCACAGATCCTCCCTATCCATTCTTCTACACATAGTTTGCCCCCCAGTGTTTCTTCTTAAGGCTCCCCATGGTTAGATTTTTCTCCTTGACTCAAGCCCTAATTAGGGGTTAAGAGCAGGAATCCACCCTCTAACATCTATTCTTCAACACACTACTCCTGTGTTTCCCGAGAAGAGGTGTTGGAGGATTGGCGAAATACAACTGTCGCATGGAATGACATACACATACACCTTCCTGGACTGAGCATGATAACATTTATACTCCTTTTGGGTAGCAGAGTAGCCAATAAAGACATAACGCAATGCCTTGAGATCCAACTTTCCCCTAGTCTTTTGATAATCATGCACAAAACACACATAACTATACACCTTTGGAGGCACAAAGTAAAGAAATGTTGACCCTTGAAGCAACCCTATAGGAGTAGCAAAATTAAAAACTCTCGAAAGCATGTGATTGATGAAATATGTGGCAGTGAGTACTACATCTCCCCAGAAGGATAAAGGTACACCCATAGTGAACATCAAGGAGGGTGCCATTTCAAGGAGATGTTGATTCTTCCTTTTTGCTATACTGTTCTGCTGAGGTGTATCCACACAACTAGATTGGTAAAGAATTCTATGTTCCATAAGGTAAGTCCAATATTTTCTCTTAAAGTACTCAGTCCCATTTTCAGTCCAGAGAACCTTAATCTTGGCCTCAAACTGAGTATTCACTAGGTTTATGAAACAAGTAAATGTTTCATCCTTGCTATGCAACAAATAAACTCTAGTAATTTGAGTGTAGCCGTCAATGAAAGTAACAAACCATCTATATCTAGCAAGAGAAACAACACGAGATGGACCCCAAACATCAAAATGAATAATCATAAATGGAGCAGTGTTTTGATTATTATTACTAGGATAAGAAGTTCTTGTATGCTTGACAAATTCATAAGCATCACAAAGAAAATTATCTTTATTACATTGTTTCATGAAAATTAAATTTTTTTTTCTAATTCTCTTGCTTATGGATGACCAAGTCTTTGATGCCATTGATGTAACTATTGGAGGGCCATAGAACCAGAAGCTTGAAGTGCCTGGCATGGTTGATCCTCTAGCAAATATAATCCATTATTAGCTCTATCATCGTCAATTATTCTCCCCATTCCCAGTTCCTAAAAAACACAATAAGATGGAAAGAATATTACAGAACAGTTTATAGACTTTGTAATGCTACTGAACGAGAGAAAGTTAGTAGAAAAATTAGTGACATGAAGAACTGAAGGCAAAGACATGGAAGAAGAACAATGAATGGAATCTTTCTGTGATACTGACGACAATGAGTCATCTACTACCTTAATTTTATCTCTACTGCAACATATAAAATGAGATGAGAAAATACTCTAGGAACCTATCATATGGTTAGTGGCTCTAGAAGCGATAATCCAAGGATTGGGGGAACAAGATGTAAAAGCACCGACATTTGTACCTGTGTGAGCAAAAGGGGAAACAGTAGAAGTGGAAATAGATGTAGAAGAAGTATCAAGTCGGGCCAGCAGACACCTAAGAGTCTGAATCTCATTTGCACTAGTGTCATTTAAGGCGTAAAACAAATTGAAGCGAATCAGTTTTCTGAGGGCCTAGGCGAAAAGCGAAGCGAACGCCTCATCGAAGCAAAGTAAATAATATAAAAAATAAACAAATATTTTAGTTTAATACTTTGATTACTCATAAATATTCAAGTTTTACCTTTACAAATACAAAATATTTAAATGCAACCAATGATACTCCTTATTTTGTGAAGATTTTGTCTTCTTGAGGTCAATAGTTCAAGTCCCCTTCTCTCCTTCCCCTCTTAAAAAAAAAAATGTACATATTTTAAATAGACAAGATGTTAAATATTGAA